TGATGGTGCATTAGATGCGTGGGAAGATGCTTGAAGCAATGTCCACACATCAAACCTCATCTCAAGACAACATAAACATGATGAAGATATACGCAGGGAGGCACATGTCTGTGTGGCTGCAACTACCTGCTCTGATAAGACTGACTGAGACAGAGACATGGAGAAAGTGTACATATAATTATCTCTCAAGTAAAACGTATGTTGGGGGGCAATGTATAAGTATCCTGAATATTTTCCAAATGATAGCATGATATATTAAAACAAATATAGGTTTCTCTCTAAAACGCTATGCTAATAGTTGAGCACATTGAAGAGATGGTAGGATACATTTCTACAAGAACAACAACAATAGTGATTTGACTGTAAGAGAGGTCAGTGATAAGAGTCTCACCCTCAGTGTGCACTGCAGACACATAGGTCCAGTTGTATCGCTTGACAATGTCCAGCATGGCCCGAGCCTGCAGAGTGTCCGAGGGCACGACCCTCAGGAAGTACTTGAACAGGGTCTTGTCGCTCAAATCGATGCTGGTGGCAGAGTATGCGATCTGCGGGATGTTAAAGAGCTGCAGGAGGTTCTGCACCTGAATGGCCACAGAGCTGGATCCGGGTCCGATCACTCCAGCGATGGGCTTCTTGGTGGGTGGAGGCTGGTGGGACGGGGTGCCGTCAATGCACCATTTTGACCCGTCCTTGTCATCCCGGATAGAGATGAGGGAGTCACGGATGAACTCGATGCTCTGCTCCAGGGCCACAGAGGAGTGCCAGCAGGAGTCGCGGATCTCGCAGCCCAGGCTGATGTTTGGGAGGAGGTGTGGGTCCGCGTTGATCCGGTCCAACGTGTGGAACATGGCCTCCACCCTTTGGATGCCATACTGCTCGCGGACGTCCCCGCACTTCCGCTCAGCTACTTTCTCCGCAGACGGCTGGTGGTGGACGGAAAAGAGCGCGCCGATGATCACGTCTCCATCCATACGAGCCACGGAGCGGACAACCGCACGGGGGACCGCCGCCCGCTCATAGATGCTGCTGTGGGAGACCACGAAGGCGCGGAAGAAAAACGTGGGGAGAAACAGAAGAGCGAGGAGACCCATCTTTACGCGTGCCATATTGTGCCACATCGCGTGATCCGTGCCAACTGTGCAGGCATACTATCTGCTGTCTGACAATACATCCACGTTTATCCAAGAGACCATGACTTGTGAGCACGACACCCGGGGCATATCCACGCGCACCTGCAGAGAGAGAAGACAAACTGATGTGTAATGTAAGCTTGGAGAAAACCAGGCCAGATTTGTTAGACTGTGGGAAGAGTTGACTAAGCACGCATGCTCCTTTCCATCTACGCCCTGATTTACATTCCTACAGCTGACAACAGTCGTCATGCCTCTCCCATCAGCTCACATCGAGGTGCCTTTGAGCAAGGGATTTAACTCACACCCACCTGATCAGCGAGCATTATGGGCTGAACAGGAATGCAGTCCACTGGGAAATGACCAACTGTGCAGGTGGTTAGCTCTGTGAGGAGCAGCGAGGTACTTTACAATGTCTCAAACAATCGATTATTTACACTTTGCACCGGGAGAGGCTGAGGGTGCTGTGCTCACTGTCCATTGAGAAAAATCATGGAGACAGATTTCAGAACCGTGGACAGCGCGCTTTCCAAACACATTACAAGGACGTCTTTGGGACTGTTGCCCAGGTTCGTCATCCTCACAGACATCCCTCCCAATTTGACTCAGCTAGTGTCTATAAATAAATACAATAAATATATAAATAAAGCCAAGAAACTACATGTTTTCATAGCCACCACCTATTTCAATTCTACATGAGAATGAATAAAAGACAGCCAAGGTTGTTTTTATTTTCAAACGCACCTTACATTATTCGTTTCTACCGTGCAATCTAAAGCAGCCTTCATTGATGATGATAATACTACAATAATAATGATAATAAACGAATGATAATAAAGCAGGGAGAAGCTCAAGATAATAGTATGTTCCCAAATGCCTCGATGAACCTATAATCTGTTTATCTTTTTCCATTCTTCTATTTACATCTTAGTTTAAGCTGCTTTTTCAGTGTCTGTTACATCAAAACTTACCTGAATCCTGGAGACATGCCTTCGTCCGTCTTCTGTAGCGCGTGGTCCTCGGCTGTATCACTTGATTCCCTCTGTCTCTCTCTCCCTCTCCCTCTCCCTCTCTCGGTCTCTCTCTCTCTCAACTTGAACGTGTTAACCATCGCCTTTTCAGTATTTGCTTCCAATGCTTGCACGTCTTGCATTAGAACATGTCTAATTCTTATTCATATTAAGACATGCATTAAGACAGGTAATGTTTTATCAGAGCTAAAATTACTGCAAAAACCTGGAACTATGCTGCCAGGTATAATACATTACATCAGTGGAGCAACTGCGGTGCTATGCAAGATAGTTGGATACTGAATTATTGCCATTACTAGCAATATGATTACCTCTTGCATGGTATTTTACAAGCAAGTTTAGAAATGTTCGTGGTACAGATATAGCCTGTTAAACAACATCAGTACTGTCATCTCTTCAGCACTATTATAAAAATGTGGTTAGCTGCATAACTGCTATACAGCATGATTGTATCCCGTTAATGCTGTCCCATCATAAATAGCTGCTTAAATTAATAATTGAATGTATCTATAATTCTGGTATTTTGAGAAGGACAGAGATATCGGGTCTCTCTCTCAGGCGTTGGCCACCAATTCATTATATGACAGCTGAGCTCTTGAGTGTATGTATTGGGTGTTCATACGGTTTTAAACTGTCAAACACTTACAACACGCAGACATGGCGACATGCACCCCTGTCTCTCGTAATAAATATATGATATGTTCACTATTTGAGTTTACCTGACTTCCACAATGGATGTTTTCGGCACCATGGACAGCAGTCAGTTACAGTTTGCATTGTGCCATCTAGCGTTTGAATGGAGGTCATTGATGGCATTTAAGCAGGCCTAAACAGACTTAGACATGAGACAAACACCTATTTCATTGAAAAATAAATGACTTTAAGTAGATATTTTGAGTGGGCTATCTCACTGATTGCTTGCCCAAGTGCAGGAGTTTACCACCACTGTACCAGTTGTAAATTGAAGTTCTGAAACTAATCAGCCCATCAGTGATGAAGACTGGATGAGTCCAGGCAAAGACACGACTCACTCCTGGGGGGCATGCAGTTCACTCGTGACTCATGCCAGGCGGTACAAATAAACGTATAAAAGAGTCGCAATGACACTGCCACTGCTGGTGCTCGGTGGCTTCAGGAGGCCGCATCTGATATTGAACCTGAATAAAAGTGACATGTTTGGGAAGGAGAGACTACTTGGATACTGCAGCCACACTTTAGGGCAAAGGGCGACAGCGGTACTCGGTTTATTCTAGGACTGCTGTCTGCGTGGGTTGACTGCAAGTGCGCGTTGACTCAAGCTGTAATATAATTGTTGATGATGTTGGCTAGTATTGTTCAGGAGAGAATGTTTGGAACAACATTTTGTAGAAGTCTATTTTAGTCTATTGCTTGCCGTAATCCTGGTGCAGGCTAGTATCGATCAGTCAAAGACCTTTTAGTTGTCTGTTATCGTACTTTCAATGCTGGCCTTAACATTAGGATTCAAGTATCAGATTGTTTTATAGTTGCCTGGCAACTTTAAAAAGGCCATTTATTAAATGAAGCAAACATACTATATATGAACCAGTAAAACAATAATGTCAATAACACAATTATTTGTCTTGTGGGAAATCAAATATGCAAATATCACATTAAAAACTGTCTGCAAATTCTGTCATAATGCAAAATCCACATTTAGTCAGGTTTAATCTAATACAGCTAAAGTTGTTGTAAAATGTATGTCGACAACTGCTTATTAGCTTAATGTATAAAGAGTTGTATGACAAATCTTTGTGAATTCAGTGTTCATTTTATTTTTAAATTATGTAAATGGTGATGGTCCCACTGACTGCATGGGCTTGTTTCAACACCTCATGACAAGTGTGTTCAGTATTACTAAGCACTGTCCTGCTGATGTGTCCATGAGTCAGCCCTCCCAGCTTCAGGGGGGCTGCTTTGTATGTGACCCCGACCTCCAAAAGTGGCATGTCCCTCAGTTAACTGCAGAAGTCCAACCACTACCAGCCAGGAGGCCGTTTAGCAACAATAAGAGGACACTGCCCTCATTCTGGTTGTTACTGGTTACTGCATGTTGGTTGTTTTTCAATAAAGAAAGAAAGACGTTTAATAATCAAGTTTATTTAATACAACTTTTGAGTTTTATTTATATAAATAAGTATACCATTAAACATTTAATCCAGTGTTTGTTAAATATTTTTTAAACAGGATTAAGTAGACCAAGTCGAAATGAACAGCTCAAAGAAATGTAATTCAGATTTGTATAACTCATTTAAATTAAAAGCACTTGTTTTAACTGTTTGGTGAAGATACAATTGTTATAGGAAGCAGAGGATAAGTTCAGTGTAACGTTTAGCTGAATTATTAGATTTGATTGGTGGATAGGTTTAATTTATTGACACATGCACAACGTTTTATTGACAACTCATACCTTCCAGATTTTACATTATTGTATTTGTATTAGACGGTTCGGTCTGTCTATCTATATAATACAAATCTGATTTAACATTATTGTATTTTTTTTTATTACAAAGTGGTTCGGTGTATATCTATATAACACAATTCTGTTCTTTTTTCTCTCTTACCTTTTTTCTCGACCTTCTATAATGTCGATATGAGCCATCAGGCCTTTTAATGATACTGTAAATGGTTCAACATCTTGGTCAATAAAGTTTTGAACAGGAAAAAAAGGGGCTGGATGACAAGGACTGTAGTTAATAGCTGTCATTAGCATTTTCTGAAAAGAGACAACTACAGCAACAGCTAGTAGTATTTATATAACAACAATAAACATCTCAGAATATTTTTTTTTACCAACGCAACGATAAGGTGAGAAACTACTCGCATGCTAACATTAGCTCGCTGTTAGCTTGTCGTGAACTTCCGAGCTGTTGTTAGCCAACATTAGCCGGCTAGGATAGCTAGCTTGCCATTGTTTTCAAAACAAGTTGGTTTAACAGCGACATAAATGTTGACAACAGGTACGGTGGCATACAAAACTATTGTTAACTGTTTATAAAGCTTATCTTGTCATCGTCGGTTCCTTTAATACAGTGCTGATTGTGGTAAGTAAACTTAAAGGTCTAACTGTGAAGCTAGTTGCAATCGACTTATTGTGTCTACCTCGGTTGCCATCTGTATTATGCGCTCTGTTTTTGCTACTTGTTAAGTTAACCTGATTTAACCTTTACAACTAAACAGAATGGTTGCATGCTACATTTCGCAACAATTCAGGATTTAGTTATGACAAGAATGTATGCGTTTTATGGCTCAGTGACTACTTAACGTTAGATGATGTATTTAGGCAATGTCCATGCATGCAAGCTGCATTCGTAAACTGACCGATTCGTAAAAGTGACAGAATATAAATTCCCTTAATATATTGCTGATAAAATGGTTATGGAAACAGAATACAGTTTCTGTGTTATTTCAGCAGATGTGCATCTCAGTTGCAGAAGTGTACATGTTTCAGTAGTCTCTGCACAATTATCAAAATACAATTGCAACCATGTTAGATGTAATGAAATAAATGGTCAATAAACGTCCTTTATGTCTGTTCGAGATATTCAGCATTAATTGCACTGTAATACTTATCTTTATCATTCATTATTTTCACACTATGAACTCATCAAGCTTTGCCCTTTTATACTAATGATAGGAAATCCCACAAGCACTCTGTACACAATCAGATATCAATTATAAATGTTTTGATTGGACAAAACCTTAAGATTTCTTTTTTATGTTTCTTCCTATTTGTTCCAAATGAATATTGTAAGCTCAGATCTCAGCAAGCACTGTGACTGACATCTGGTGGTCTGAAGGAAATATAGCAGCCATTTACAAGTGGGCTAAAATCCCTGGTACTACACCAAACCTTATATGTGCAACACAAGTTTTAAAACACTACTATCACAAAGTCATCATGCAACAGAAGATCGGACACAACAAATTGAAACCGGGCTCTCTGTTTTTGTCGTCTTATCCCATCTCTTATATACTGACTATTTGCTCTTGTTGCTTATTTGGCAGGACAGTGGATTTTCTCACACTCAGAATCTTCCACCCCTTGAGTCTGAAGATGGAGGAAGATCATGTTCACTGTATGTCCTGCTTCAATCAGAGATGCAACTTCAGAACTCAACCCGACATTTCTTGTGATATTATGACCTGTCCTTTAGTGTGTGGGGCAGTATTTCACTCCTGCAAAGTTGATGAGCACCACCTTATGTGCCCACTGATGAGGGTCCCCTGCCTAAACAGAGACTATGGCTGCCCCGCCAACCTGGTGCGTAACCAAATGTATGCTCACCTCGATGTGTGTCCAGCTGGAGTGGTGTGCTGCACTATGGAGTGGAACAGATGGCCCGTTAGCTGCCTGGACTACACTTCCTATGAAAGCCTGAGCCGTGGAGTGGAGGAGGTGGAGCAGCTAGACATGGCACTTGCTCTTCAGGACCAGCGTACACTACTCGAGTCCCTCAAAGTGATTGCCATGTCACCCACTGCAGAAGGAGAGCCATTTCTCCCTGTTGGTAAGGAAAACAGGGAAACAGGCTCATCTTCGCCTACATCCGCCCCTGAGGCCTCCACCGTTATCGATACAGCTTCACACTCATCATCCTCACACCAGCCACAACCTCCCCCGTCAGTTTTGGCAAAGGAGAGAATTGCCAGTGGAATTAATGGCTTGAATGAGGAGCATTTCGGTAAACTCTACGAGGCCACAGTGGAGACAGCAAGAAGCTTAGCTGCTGCTTTGGACTTTGTTAGCAATGCCAACTCTGTTGACAGCAGCACAGAGTGTGTGAACAGTGCAGCTGCTACTCCGATGAGTACATTGAGCGACAATGGAGACCCTAAGAATGAACTAGAAATCAAAACACCAGTAGCCGCTGATGGTTTAAATAAAAAAGACATGGAGGTGCAAAGTGTCTGTTCTAGCTGTTTGATAGGAAATGGGGCTCTCAATGGAACAGATCCAATGATTTTAAAACCTGCAAATGGACGACTGTCGGGAGCAATGGAGGCCTTTCCTGTTGAGGTTCAAGATGACATGAACGCTGGGGTTTCTCAGGAGCCCGTCACCCCTCAGATGGCATCTCCGGTGCATGTCCGACAGGGAGTGGCACCGAGCGCTGGTCATGTGTTGCTTGAAGACAGGGGGCTAGCTCTTTTAGAAAACCATGGGCATGATCGTAAATTTCACAACTACAATTTTTTTAGGGGCCAAGGCCAATGTTCATTACCTAATGGACGGAAAGGTTACTTCCCAGACAGGTCACTGTATAGATTGCGACCGAAAATGGAGGACAAGGCAGTAGATACCTCAGATTTGGAGCAGGATGAAGACCCCATGGGTCTGGGAGAAATCGATCTGATCACAGCAGCACTGTTCTTTTGTTTAGAGGAGTCCAGAGAGTGTAGAAGGATCTCTGACAAAGTCTATGTTGATGGCTACCGTGTTGACTTTGGCACACAGACTTTCACTTTCCCTGCAGCCATCTTGGTTACCAACACTAGAGTGGGGGACATAGCTTCTGCATCTGCCTGTGACCATGCGGCCCCCCAGCTTTCCTACCCCAGCCCTTTCCGCACTCTCCGCCTCTGCCTTGTCTTGGAAGCTCTGGAGGTCGAGGCAGTCCCACATAACCGCTACCTCCCTCCTAACCCTCGCTACCAGCATATGTTCCCTTTCGTCTGTGGTCAGTCATTGCGCAGGGACCAGTTTTCTTCCCATTTCATAAATGTCCATGGTGACATTCACGCTGGTCTCAATGGTTGGATGGAGCACCGCTGCCCGCTGGCATACTATGGCTGCACATTCTCTCAGCGAAGGTTTTACCCATCCACCCAGGGGGCCAAAGTGGTTCATGACAGGCACCTCAGGTCCTTTGGGGTTCAGCCTTGCCCAGGGGCACAACTTCCTGTTGATTTCCAGTCGGACCAACTTAGTGGGCTTCCCATTGAGATATTGTGGCATATAGCTGGGTTCCTGGACAGTTTCAGCCTGTGCCAGCTGTCTCTGGTGTCACGGACTATGAGGGAGGTGTGTGCCAGCCTCCTCCAGATAAGAGGCATAGTGGAGCTGCAGTGGGAGCGAAGACGTTGCCCTGGTACCCCTGGCACTGTATCATGGCAAATCAAAAATAGAGTGAGTAGAAAACCTGTATTATAAAGTTACTGTATGTCAGTTATTTTTAATATTTCTTTTAATCTGTATCTGAAATCTGAGAAAAGTGCTTTTACAAAAGGAAACATTTCAAATAGCTGATGGAGCTCTACATTAAATGCTATAATAATGCTATAATATTATACATAGCCAACATAGCCTAAAGAATAATTACTTCAAATCAGTTTGAAATAGATAGATTTTTCTGGAGGGTGCCCCTAACATATATAATGTTTGTTTAGGATAACATTTAAAACATTTGTAAATCAATGTAAGCAGTAAGATAGAATAAGATAGTGGCATTTTGGATGCTGTAACAAAAGAAGGGAATGCAGCTTCACAAAATGATTAGTATGCATTGACCTCTTCATTCAGTAATCCTTTTTTATTTATTTATGCAGGTGTGGAGATTCAGCACTGCCTTCAGCCCGGTGTCATCATGGGGTTTCAATGATCTCCCCAGCATGTCGAACCATCTCAAGAAGTGTCACTTCAACACAGCAGAGCACAAGACGGAGCCCGTTCCCCTTCCTGCCATGTGCACTGCACGAGATGGACAGTCGCTGCGCCGCGTCCTGCGTCACATTAACACATGACTCGACGCGGCTCGCCTCTTGCTTCTGCACGGGAGTCACTGTGGGAATATGTGGATGTTGCAATAATAGATTTTCTGTCATTAAAACAAATAATTCTATCTGTAATTCACTTATGATGAAGCCTTAAAGAAATCACACCATACTTTTCACAATGAAGGTCTGTGTTTGTGGGTGTCCCTATGATGAGAAACAAATAGTTAGCATGGATTTGTGCTGAAAGTTCCACTTTATTCTGGTTAGATGAAAATATATATATATTTGAAGACAAATGTGCACAATAGATTGATATGATTCTGTAAGATATACTGTATAACTGTTTGCCTTTGAGTAGTAGCCATTGGAGAAAAGCAGATTGTTGGTTATGTTGCATTATCTGTGTTACAGAAGCTTTGCCAGCACTTTACACAAGATTTGTTAATCCTTTCTTTGTTGATGTGACCATAAATGTTCAGTCTTTCTGATCCCTATAGTGGTAAGTCAAAACAGATGGATATTAATGTGAGGACAGCCTGACAACACATGTGATTTACTACCATTTAATAAAGTCTTTATAGCCTTCTAAGTATTTGTTGAATTCTTCAAATCACTCCTTAGTTATTCAATACACAATTTCCTTGTTCTACCTTAGTAAAAAGAAAATATCTTAACCTACCTTTTTAAATATTTTTTTTCTCTGTAAAATGAAAATGTTATTGTCTTGCTTTATATGTGAACATCCAATTTTCCATTTGAAAACAAACTGAAATATTTAATATGATTAAGACATAGCATTGAACACATCCACATTTCTTCTTACAAACTGACATGCCGTCCAGTTTCAACACTGAATGGTGACATACCTGATCTCAGCTAGTTACATAAAGACATATTATCATCCCAAACATTGACAGTTTTGGTAATTGCATGTGTTATCAGCCAAATCTTATTACGTGGCTCACAGATTCTCTGAAAATATATTTCCATTATTCTGAAAAAAGCCTCAAACCAATGTAAATGTGGTAAAAACTATGAACATTATGAAGAATCAAACATGTGAACATTACATTTGAATAAAGCTTAACCCGTTAACTTTTCTATGTTGTTTTGGTGTGCGGCCATCCTTTTTATTAATCATTTCCAAGATATGGCATGTGTGTAGCTGCAGCCTCTGCTGGTCACTTCTGAATGAATTAAGATACCTTAAAAGTTACCTAAAGATACATTTATGAATGGCACTTATTCTAAATAGTGATAATAAGAGCAACTTAACTTCCTTACTGTGTTAATGTGTTTAAGACAGATTCTCACTCTGGGCCTCTTTGATGGACTGACCTTATAGAAAACAACTCACTCTGAGGTCTCAACACTCTTGATTAGGGAATGCTCAACACCTGTGATTTCCTTTCAAATAGCTCAATCACAGTCCTGCTACACCTGTGTGGTGGTTCAACTGAAAAGGTGGGTTACCTGTCTATGGGGCTTTATCAGTTCAACAAGAACACTCAATGATTGTGCATGTTAGATGCGGTCATATTTGAATGTTTTGGAGTGGAGAAAAGCTATACTGCATGTAATCATTGTTGTTTGTTATCCATTGTGTTTCAGTTGTTGTAGCTAGCCAGGCATTATGGCAGAGTACACTCTGAAAGTGACCACAGGAAGCATGCTGTATGCAGGCACATTTGATAACTTGTATGTTACCCTGATCGGTACTGAAAGGCAATCGGAGCGCACTCAGTTGACGAGTTTGGGATTGGATGATACAAATGGAAAGGTAATTTGTAAAACTAAATGAATTGTAATAGTCCATATCTTTTTTCTCTTAACATTATTAAGGAGTTCCAGCATTTTATTTAAATTCAGGACAAAAGTTAAGGGTGGAAACTGTTTGGGAGAAGCTTAATATATGCCCATATTGAATGCTGAATGCATCTTCCTTTACAACACCAGGTGGGAACGTTTGCTGTGACTACACTTTTTACGTTGGGATGTCTTCTCTTCCTAAAAATGGAGAAAGATCCTTTGGCAAAGGATTGGTTTTGCTCCACAATAGTGGTGACAACACCTGAGGGGGATGAAATGATTTTCCCCTGTCACCGTTGGCTTTCCAAGGGGGATATTGTGTTGTTGAGAGGGGGAAGAGGTTAGTGAAGTAATTCCCAAATTGTTAGAAGCTATATGTCATGTACATTTTAAGCACATTTAAGAATGTACATGTATTTCTTTGCAAACACACAGCTACAAAGGCTTTTGAAGATCTCCATCCTAAACTAGTAGACCAACGGAAAAAAGAATTGGTTCAACAAAAAATAAATTACAAGTGAGTCTTCAATCAACTTAATTTTGCAGTGTACCAAGGTGCACCTCAATGACTGTTGATTGGGATTTATATCTTTTTATTTCCTGTTTTACTCTGCAGATGGGCTGTGTATGCAGAAGGATTGCCATACATGGTGGACATCAAAGATGAGAATGCTCTTCCTGCAGAAAGTAGGTTGTCATTCTCAAGAGCCTTTGAACTCCAAAACACATTAAAAGAAATGTAAGTGCCCTAACGTACCTTATTTTGTAGACCAAGTGTCTAAAACAAATATCCAGTGCAATAACAAGTGATTTATCTTTTTCTCCTTCTCTTTTAACCAGATATGCTGAGTTCGAACTAAAAGGTCTGACAGATTTGAATCAGCAGTTTGAAAGCTTTGAGGCCTTAAAGATGGCCTCATTGGTTAAAAAGACACCAATGGCAGGTAGGATCTCAGTAAAGTGTTTCACTGCTCTGTTAAACACCTTTTATACTAATACATCATTTATGTCCCAGAGTATGTGTCGGAGCACTGGAAGGATGACGACTTTTTTGGATACCAGTTTCTCAATGGACTCAACCCCTTCATAATTCAACGTTGCTCAAAGCTGCCATCCAACTTCCCCTTAACAGAGGAAATGGTTCAACCTTTTTTGGCCATAGGAAGTTCTTTGAATGCAGAGATGAAGGTAAAGTGAATTTCTAGTGTATTTTATGTTTTTAGATGTGTTAAAGATTGTCCTCACTTGGCACTTATCTGTTTTTATAATTTTGTTTCCTACAGAAGGGCAATATATTCCTTAGTGATTACAAGATCATGGAAGGTCTTGCCACAAAAGTTATTGATGGTAAACCCACTGTGGTGACTCCTGCTCTCTGCCTGCTGTACCTAAATCCACAGAAGAAACTACTCCCCATTGCAATTCAGGTTTCTCATATCTCGTGATTGAATCTCAATTCAGTTTTTTGTTTTTTTAATACTTTCTGCAAAATAAAAAAATGTCCCCACCCTCAGCTCAGTCAGCAACCTTCAGAGGAGAACCCAATTTTCCTGCCTACCGACTCGGAGTCTGACTGGATGCTGGCCAAAATGTTTGTAAGGAGTGCAGATGCCCTCCATCACGTATTAGTCAGTCATTTTCTGAGGACTCATCTACTGCCAGAAGTGTTTACAATGGCGACACTTCGCAACCTCCCAAAGAATCACCCCCTGCACAAGGTGAGCCCTATTTATTATTTTGAGTGCAATATTGCAGGCCATATGAGATGTGTTTACTTTAATCAGCTCAATGATATTACAGTAGGTTCATTACTGTCACATATGTCTCCTTTCTTACAGCTGCTGACCCCCCATCACCGATTTACCATTCCTATAAACATACTTGCTCGTGAGACTCTTCTCAGCCCTGGTACATTATTTTCAAAGGTATGACTTTTTAATATATTTAAAATGGAAATCATACATTAACCATTTAAACAACATAGTCAATTCTATAACTGTTTAAATATCTTGATCAAATAGAAAAACAGTTAAAGCTTTTTTATTGTAATTGTACAAAAATACACCGAGATTCAGAGTGCAACCCTGTTCCAGTGTGCAATAACTAGACATACATAACATTTAAAAACACGGCAGTTAGTCAAAAAGATATTGTAGGAGCCAATTAACACTGTGGGTATAAAGGTAGGAACCAATGTTTGTGGTTAGAGGTTCCGCCGGAAGGCCATACAGTTTTTGACTACATGGAGAATAAACACGGGAATACAAACATTCATTGCCGTTTTTATATGTACAAAAGTGGTGGGGCACGAACAACTGAGGTGTGTGTGGATAGATAAGCTTCTGGTGCTTTTTTAAACACGTAAGCAAATGGCTGTAGGCTATCCATGGTTCCGATAGAGAGGGGGGGTATAAGAAAAACAGACACTCATCACCGAGGTCACAATATCAATCGATCCAGCAGAGCAATAGCCTATTCTTTCACACAGTGACGTCACGAGCTACCCACAATGCAACGCGCGCCATATATATATATATAAATAAATACGCCATTTTCCTGGAGGTGCAAATATCCTGGAGGTGCAAATATAAACAGCTAGCTAACGTAGCCAGGCAGAGCGCACTAGGTTTTTTTTCTGAATTAACGACCGAAGAAATCGCTGCATGTCTTCGGATTACATCTCTGGACTTGAGGGGTGTGCTCTAGGTCGTTACCAGCGTAAACTAGAGCTGTGTGGGTTGTCGGATTGCCCTTACAGACTGCCTGCAGATGTATGGAAAAACGACCCTCGAAAGTGGCCTTCGTCGATTTTGGCTGCATCTACGTCTAATTTCTGGAAACACCAGGTGAATACCCCACTTGTCACAATAATATTATCATTGCATATATGTGGTATTTTAGAGTTGACTAGATATTGATTAAGGCAATAGACTATGATATTCAGTACAGGAAGCTTAGCAACACCTAGACGGTGTACGGCTAAACCCTCGGCCTGCTTGCACCTCGCGTAAAATTGCGGATACCGGAAGTACGGTGTCGCCCTCGGCCCAATACCCGTGTGTGTGAAAGAATTGGCAAAACACAGAAGATCAACAAAAGATATGACTTAAATGAACTTACCAAAGCTGAAGTAGATGGTCAACTTCATTCATTTTCTTTCCATTTTAATCGCCATACACTCGTCTCCTCTTCACAAACAACTACTATTTTCGCGGCACACGTACTTGCAGCGAATCAGCTCTGAATTATGAGATGACGTTTGGTAGGCATGTCAGCACCGTGCCCCTATGGTGTTTACTCTTTTGCCGCACACATGGAATCGAAAAATACTCTGAGCATGCGCAGTGTAGTTTTTACAGCAACCATTCACTTTGATAGTGACAGTGAGAGAGAGAGGGGCTTGACCCACGTCGCTCAAAACGGCTCAATAGGCACACTGTAGACGCTAATTAGAAGAACACAGACTAAAACGGCAATGTACAGACAAATTGGAAGATTAAACATGATCTTAAAATATATTTGAAGATGTATTTTTTGTTTTGCATTTCTTTGGAATTATTATTTGAATTCTGCTGACACTTGGTGGGGGCTTTTCTGTGAGAAAATGAAGCAAATGAAATGGACACCAGTCAAAAGGAAATAAATGGCCTGTATTTAACTGGAAGCTTTGTATCAGACTTTTATTCACCTGGCAAACTTTGTGTGCGTCAATTACGCCAACATAGTGGATCCTCAGAGGCTTAAAGCGTTGGCTTAGCCTCTACAGATATGTTTGGGGTTTTGACGGTGAGAAATGTTATGTAGAGAAAATGAAATTTCACATTTGTGCATTTGAAATGTAGCCAGTATTTGTTGTTTCAGAGTTCACTTGATAAAGAGGGACAACTAGAACTAATGAGAAGGGGGCTCTCCAGAACGACCTACAGCTCCCTCTGCCTGCCGGAAAACATCGCAGCTAGAGGACTGGAGTCCATCCCCAACTTTCATTTCAGAGATGATGCACTGAGGCTGTGGAGCATCATCAACAGGTGACTTTCTGCTTGATAGCTGTCAACCCTGGTGTTTGAGGATCAATGCCATTATATGCCACATTAGACAAAATAGGGGGACACAAGTCTTAAGATTCTGGATTTTAAATTGGATATTGATGCAACAATCTCAAGATGTCACACTCCTGATACTGGTAAATGTTATTGTCCTCAGCTTCATCCAGTCAATGGTGGCATACTATTATCCATCTGACAGTGAAGTGTCTACAGATTCTGAGCTCCAGGAATGGATCAATGAGATATTTTATTATGGATTTCTGGGGAATTATGACTCAGGTATATATATTTGTTGTTGTATGCTCCTTTCGAAATGTTTACATGTGTATGTAAAAGCCTAAGGTCCTGCAGTAGTCCTTTTTTTGTTAGAGACAGATTGTAGAATATCATGTAGGCAAGTTTATTTATATAGCACCTTTCAACACAAGGCAATTCAAAATGCTTTACAAAAAACGATAGACATTAAGAAAATGTAATTTTAAATGTTAAAATCAGTAATTCAAAAGAAAAGATAATAAAAGAAACATTAAAAGAAAAAATACATGGATAAAAGTTACAGTGCAGTTTAAGATGTGAATAGTTCAATTAAAAGCAGCGGCAAAAAGAAAAGTCTTTAGTCTGGATTTAAAAGTAGTCAGAGTTGCTTTAGATAGATTGGCTTTAGATGCCAAGTCAACCCCCTCCCTTCACACTAAGTTTTAACTTGCCTTAAATGGATAATCCATCTTTCCAAAAGGCTTTATCTTGATTGGATGATGACATTTGCTGTAAAACAAATGTAAGGAACTTAAACAAAGCATCACATTCTGAAATAGACAGTAAGTAGAATGCATGTAAAAACAAAAGATGGTTATTACATTTTGAGATTTAAAAAAATATATACAAAAGTAGGATGAGATGCTCTGTGAGAAATGTGCAGTAGGTTTTTAACATAACATTCTTGACAGGATTTCCTTCAAGCCTTCAGACTGTGGAGGAACTTATCCAGGTTGTCACTACAGTGGTCTTCACGTCATCAGCTTCACATTCTGCAGGGAACCGTGGACAGGTAAATATTACATTTTTAGAAAAAAGTAGTAGAGTATAATCTATTTTTTTCAGGATTTGAATGTTCTTTTGGGTGATGAGGTCACCCTCAATTTGTACTGGCTATCATATAAATGTTTAAGTTCTTCAAATGTGACTATGCCGTGCATCCTATAGTTTGACGTCAGTGTTTTGATCTCTGTACAACTGCTTGTCCAACACTTCTTCCGAAGTCCCAATGTGTTGGTGCCATAATGACTGGTTTTGTGCATGTAATGCTCCTTGCCCTCAAACCATTGAAAACCAGATACAACAAAAAGGTAGAAAATCAGGCTGGAGGAGCTTGCATCTTAGTTCTTCTAGTTTAGTGATTGTTATCTCTCTTGTTGATCCCACAGCTCCATTAAAGTATGTACACAAAACATCATGGTTTGGGTTAATTCAAAAGTAGAATTTTTAGTTTTTTCGGGAAAGGGCCTTTTTTGCCTTCCGGTTCAAAGTTGTATGAAAAGACGGATAGCACCCATGTGTTTGTACATTTAATGTCAACGTGACTAACTTACACGTCTATACAAAGACATGCCTATGGGGGCAATCTGGGGTAAAGTATCCTCCCCAAGGAAACTTTGATGTGTTACTGAAGAGGCTGGGGATTAGACTACTGACCCTCTGATTAGGAGATATTGATTTCCCCTTGAGCTAAAGATGCTATACAGTACATTAAGTGGAGTCAAAGAGGACAAAACCACTAACAATAACCTAAAGTTCAATGATTTAGTGTTTGTTTTGTACAAAGTGTAAAAATACAATTGCAACATTTTACATTGATAGCTGGCTGGCTCAGTTGTGAGCAGTAACAGCTTACTTGGTAACATTATGGGTGAGATTAAAGTAATTCAACATTAATCTCTACCATAAAGAAATTAGGAGAACAAATGAGATTTATTAATGTCAAACCATAACTTTTTTATTTTAACCCTCAAGATTTATTTTTTTTAAAGTTTGACCATCTAGGTTGGATTCCCAATGGTCCACTTATCCTGAACAAAGCTCCTCAAACTACAAAGGAACAGTCAAGCATGGAGGACATCTTGGCATATCTGCCCAAAAAATCAAGCGCAATACTTGTAATGTCATATACATGGCTGTTCAGGGGGAATTTCAGTGATTTTGTGAGTATCCTGCGTTACATTAATCACAACCAGTAACTCTACCTTTTCAAAGATGTCCCATTCCCTTGCATAACATTTGGATTTTGTCCCCGCCAGGAGCCCCTCGGTACTTATCCTGAGCAACGCTTTGCTGAGCCTGCAGCCTTACAGATGATCGAAGATTTTCAAGCAGAGCTGTCCTCCCTCAGTGTGGCTATAACCAAGAGGAACTCAAAGCTTGAGCAGCCTTTTAATTATTTGAACCCAAAAGAAATTGAAAACAGTCCAGGAATTTAATCTTGGTATTTGACCAAGAAAATACTTTAAACTGTGGCTCAAATAAACAACCTGCCGTCGCTTTGTTGTCCAATGTACTGCCATCTTGATACTGTAATCTTATCATTAAAGTAAAGTTTCACATATTTATATTGTAGATTTTGTTTGCATCTCTTCACCAAACCATTCAACTGCAAGTATTCTAAAACCAAATGGTTAAAATTGTAAAGACAAACGGCAAATATCTTCATTAAGTAGGTTTTCCTGATATAAGGATTGAAGGAAAGTTGAGGCAGAGGTGTTTAGTAAAATGAGACTTTTACTCCATTGCTTTGTTACCCTATAGATTATGTTCAGCAACTTCCGATATCACCTTTAGTACAGTATAAGGCTACGTTTTTTTTATGGTCATCGAATACAATTATTAATCTAACAAAGACGTAACACTATCAAATTAGTTTTTTTTTTTTTAAAAGTCCGGTCAGAATGAGCAGAGGGAGGTTAGCAGAAACTGCAGCAGCATTTAGTGTGGCAAACAAAACTCCTCAACGCAAACAGTGCTGCATAAGAAACTTGTTTCACAAGCTGCATCTGTGCAGCAAGTTCAGTGTGAAATGTTGTCATGTGTGCCTTGGACTGCAGCTACCAGGATGCATGAGCAGGATGTATGCATGTTGACACGTAACTGTTGTCTCAGCATCACTCTCTGTACGGAGGCTCAGTCACTGGTACACTTTTATTTATAAAGCTATGTTGGGCAAACTCCCGTATTACATCTGTTCTCTGGTAAAGCAGAAAGTTGCAAGCAGCTATTGTCTGAGATCGCAGGATGTAGTCTTGTTAGATGTACCAAGGGTAAGGACCGTTTTAGGTAAGACAGCTTTTATGTGCGCCGCTCCACTTGCTTGGAACAACCTACAGTCCAAATTGAATTTGAGCAATTTTATTTCTCTGAATGTTTTTAAGGCACGTCTGCACGAGATGCTTTCTGACACTATGGGTGTTGGTAAATATGATGTTCTCTATTGTTTGTTTTTATGTTTCATGTGGAACTAAATTGATGCAGGTCTCCCTTGTAAAAGAGATCCGTGATCTCAAGGGACCTATCTGTCTAAATAAAGGTTTGAAATGAGCATTCTTGTTTTAGCTCACAGCAACAATATTTGGTAAAATGTACTTAAAATACAGCTTTAATGCAACATCAGTCAGTCTATGCCTTCAAAAGACTCATCCTTGTTAAAAAGTATTGTCCCACTCTGCAGCTTCCCTGTCATTCAATGCCTTCAAGGTTTCGATACAGTTACAAAGAGGTGGTGCTTGTTTTATAATCTGAACCTTTTTTTTTACATTTGTTTTACACTTTAAAAATACCGAAGCGGGTGGATGGGTTTTTATTTATTGAAGATGAACATATTCAGGGTGTGCTTGCTAATATTTGTTGCTAGGTTGTTTTGAATTGAATAGGTTACCCTCTTTGAACTAACTTGCTGATCCCTTCCAATACTCTCAAACTAAATGCTTCCTGATAAATAACCTGACAGGATTTTGAAAACAGCATGGATGTTTAACTTAATCACTCAATAAACTCAAGTTTGAGGATTGCTAACAACACTACACCATGCAGTCTGGCTTTTTGACATTTCTAATTTTCTAAGACAAGACATTTAAGTTTTCAGGTTGGTTAGGATTTTAATGTTCTTTTGGGTGATGAGGTCACCCTCAATTTGTACTGGCTATCATATAAATGTTTAAATTCTTCAAATGAGACTATGCCATGCATCCTATAGTTAGACGTCAGTGTTTTGATCTCTCTACAACTGCTTGTCCAACACTACTAAAGTCCGAATGTGTTGCCGCCATAATGACTGGTTTTGTGCATGTAATGCTCCTTGCCCTCAAACCATTGAAAACCAGAGATACAACAAAAAGGTAGAAAATCAGGCTGGAGGAGCTTGCATCTTAGTAGTTCTTCTAGTTTAGTGATTGTTATCTCTCTGTACAATTGCTGATTCCACAGCTCCATTAAAGTATGTACAAAACATCAAAGGCCATCAATATGTTTTGCGCCTTTAAATATAGTATGACTCTTCACTTTTCTTAATATTTAGACAATCCAAATACAGCATACACTAGGAAATAAAGCAGTAGCTGAACACATGGTGTATTATTATATAGTATTTAACTTTGGGCTAAAGAACAGCTTTCTTTATGATCGTGAGATGAATGCTATAATGCTATAATAGAGCAACTATGTAATGTGTTTGCTGTTTGAACATAATGTTATCTTGTGTGTATTGGCACATTGTAATCAAACATTTGGGCTGCCTGTCGGCTCTGTGTCCGTGTCCTGGTTCCTGTTTGCCCAGACTTATACAAGTCGGGACGCGGGTGGCGCAGTGGTCTGTGCGTTTGATCATCAGATCAAGGGGGCGTTGGGGAACTCCAGTTCGAAACCCGCTCCCGCCCCACTGCGTCAGGCCGTTGTGTCCTTGAGCAAGACACTTCACCCGAATTTGCTCCTGTGGGTATTGTCCACAGCAGATGACCATTACATATCTGTATGTGTATTTGTAAAGCGCTTTGAGAGCGCTATAATAAATATAAGGATTATTATTATTATTATGCCAAGTAGCCAGTATATTTTTATTTCTGTAAATAAATCACTCGAACCTTCCTGGCTGCCTTGACTGATTGCATATGGGTCCTCCTTTGGTGACTCAGCATCAACCATCCTGACAGTCTATCACTGTGTGTTTATTATGAATTAAGTGGTTGATCATAAACATATTGTAAACTACAAGAATGTAGGTTATTCTTGCCAGAATGAGTGGTTTAGAACAACTGATACACCCTCCCCCTCTAAACCTACATGTACACGCTTTGAAAACCAGAAAAGCAAAATGTTTGGATAGAAGCTTTGTTTGGGGAGAACCGCCCACTTTTAAGTTAATGCACATTAGGGGCGTTAGTCTCAACAAGGTTAGTCAGTGCTGAGACAGTAAGCAAGAAGACAGACAGGCGAGGGAAAACCTAGAAGGTAAGAAATATGTTTTGGGTAGATGCATTGTATCCAAGTTCAAATGTTTTCATGAAAGAAGGTTCACAATGCACAGGCAGTGTCAGCATTGTTTTGTTTTGCTGCGTATTGGAGCCTTCATTCTGTAAATGAAGAGACTCAAATGTGTTTATTTTTCCAAACAGTATCCACAGGTAACCATGGCTGAGTACAAGCTAGAGATGACAACGGGTGCCATGCAATATGCAGGAACATCGGACTACTTGTATGTCACCTTATTTGGAACTGAGGAGCAGAGTGAGCGAACTTTGATGGACAACTATGGCGTGGACTTTCAAACAGGGGCAGTAAGTACAACCCAGTTAAACATCTGCACTTGTCTGTAAATAACAGATTGCATCATCAAGTAAGCACTTTAGATTTAAGTCATCATTTAGAATTCACAGATCCTACTTCAACGTGTGATCTATGTGACGTTAACTGCTATAACTCTTACTCTCAATATGCAGAAATGATATAAACACAATATAATGGTCTTTCACATTTATTGTACCGTTAAATTATACATTTCACTTTTTTTTTAAGTCACACTTTTAAAGGATAATCTGCTGAGGCTTACACTTTTAAAATGCTTCCCTTCATTACGTTGTCCCAAATATCTCAGTTTCAATGTGCAATACATCATAATATATGTGTTGAACTGTATTATATTGTAAATGGCAGTATATACATAAACTGTATATTCTGTTTGAGTTTACCATAAGGAAGCTTTGACTTTTCAGACTACACCGTTGTAGGAGGCGGTAGCTTGGTTTCAATATGCACAAATAGTCTGTGACTGAGACTTTTTAGCAGATATTGCTTTTTTTAATTATAATAGTATATATTAATATAATAACAATTATAATTATTATTCCAAGACAGGGAGCTACACCGTGAAAACCAGTGTATCTCTGGGCAAACTTCTGCTGGTTAAGGTTGAGAAGGAGAAGTATTTATGTCTCCCAGAAGATGAGTGGTACTTCTCCAAAATGGTGGTGACGACTCCAGAAGGAGATGTCATTCTTTACCCCTGCTACAGATGGATTGGTAGGGGAGAAATGGTGGAGCTGAGAGGAGGGAGAGGTCTGCATCAATGTCCCCAAATAACTGATTCATACATATTAACCGGTTTTGTACATCTCGTTGGCTTTGTACATTTAAATTTGACTGCTATAATGTTCTTTTCATGTCCCAGCAATGAAAGCTTTTGAGGAGGATCACCCCCTGTTGATTGACCACAGGAAGAATGAGCTGATGCTCAAAAAGAGCTTGTTCGAGTACGTTTCCATATGAGCAGTAGAGCTGCCGTTTGTCGCCAAAGTTTATCTGTAGAAATGTCTTTGTGCTTTTGGGTAACTTTGTTTGTTTTATTAGATGGAAGATTATGGCTGAAGGAATACCCCACATGAACAATTTCAATGACGTGTCTGAGCTCCCAGCTGAAATCCGCTTCTCTGATTCCAGAACAGCTGACATGCGTTACTCAAAAGCTATGACGTGGGTCAATATATTTAAATATATGTGTATATATTAATTACAATACAGCTCTATTCTCTAGACTAAATATTGAGGGAAAGGGTAAATTGCAATTCATTTCTGTATGTTGTTTATTCCTGTGTTACAATTGTTCCTTGTTTTACTTCAGAGGTATTGAACTCAAGGTTAAGGGGCTGCTAGGATCTACTGCACAATGGGAAAGCATTGAAGACATAAAAAAAATATTCTGGTATAACAAGACAACAATGTCAGGTATGTTCTTGTTATCCCATTTACCAGTTGTCGGTGTAACTCACCCCATCTATGTCATGGTTTCATAACAACAGATAGATTCAGTAGATGTTTTTCCTGGTCTACTCTGTACAATTATTTGTTTTCTACAAAGTTAAGTATTTCAGTAAAAGTAATTATATAAATACATGACCAATATTTTTGCTTTACAGTCAATGACAATGATGATTATGTTGAACCTGAAAAACCCCAAAACATTTTAGAAAAATGATATTATATTATTTATTAAATGAACCAATTGTTATTCGTATTAAACCCAATATATAATGTTGGTATATTTTTTATATATCAATTGCTATTCTTCCAGAGTATGTTGCAGACCACTGGATGGACGATGACTTCTATGGATATCAGTTCCTGAATGGAGTCAACCCCGGTGTTATCAAGCGCTGCTCAGAGCTTCCCACAAACTTCCCGGTCACAGAGGAAATGGTGAAGCCGTTCCTGGAAGAGGGAAGCTCTCTGCAGAAGGAAATGGAGGTATGAATGAAAATTAACTTTAAATGGATGGTAATCTTTGTTTCGGAAACATGATTTGTCCATTTACTATCCCTCTGTCATACTTCCTTGACTTATTACAATTCTGTGATACCTCTCGATGACGTCTTAAACATTTCTTTCTTATGTCTTTCCAGAAAGGCAATATGTTCCTTTATGACCAGAAGAAGATGGATGGAATTCCCCCTGCAGCCTATAATGGTGAACCTCTGCACGTGACTGCTGGTCTCTGTTTGCTCAACGTGAACCCAGACAACAAACTGATGCCAATTGCAATACAGGTACTGTAACATCTATTTGAAAGCCAGCATGTAATGTTATGGGTCTTTACCATGGTCAGTCTATGGAAAACATTCAAGGTATCGTGAAGGGAGAGTTAATAATCTATTTTGTTATCAATTTCCAGTTGAATCAACAACCATCTGAGAAGAACCCCATCTTCCTGCCCAGTGACCCAGAAACTGACTGGCTGCTAGCCAAGATGTTCATTAAAAATGCAGATTGCATGGATCACGAATCAGTCCATCACTTCATGAGGACTCACTTTCTGGCAGAGGTCTTCGCTGTTGCAGCTCTCCGCAGCTTCCCTGTGATTCACCCAATGTACAAGGTACAGTATAAGTGCTCCACACAACATAGGTAGTGCAGGTTTTTTGTATTCCCTTGATCTGAAATAATGCTTAGAATTTGTATTGATTGATTTTCAGGTATATTATGTCTATACTAGAGATGGTTGATAGTAAAGCTGAGACAGGAAATGTTCAAAAATAAAGAGGCATGCGTGCAAACAAGTGTCCTTGATTAAACCCCATTACTTTGCGAGGTTGGATGCAAAGTGTTGTGCTGAGATTAACGTAACACAACATGTGAATTCCAAAAAAAACGACTCTTTCTGAAACGCTTGCCAGATGCCAGAAGTGCAAACAGGTTGTGGCTGGGGTGAGAGGTATCCGTGAAGATGTTGCACACATTTAAAACACATCTTTTGACGCATGAAACACAACTTTCATGTGTGTATTAAATGTGTGTATTTGTCTCACTGTTTTTGTATCTTTGATATACTTGTAGATCATTTCGTTATTCACTTTTTTTTTCGTTACTTATTTTTCATAGTATTTTTTTATTACTTCCATTTCCCCGGGCGCTGTACAATAGCTGCCCACTGCTCCTAGTACTAGACTCCTGGTACTAGGATGGGTTCAAAGCAGATAACAAATTCACTGTGTGTGCTGTGTGCTCTGCATGTGTGACCATTAAAGAGGGTTTCATCCCTCCCAATTCTTTCTAGATCTTCTTTGGAAACTGGTTTTATGAGCCATTATTTTGTATTTATTGAAGAACTCAAACTTTTATAACAAAAAGTGATACTTAACTTGTTGGAGTCCAAGCACTTTATAATTATCATGGTTATATATTTTCAAAGAAGTCAAAGCACTGATTTCAGTTGTGTTTGCTTACACAGTAGCTTCCTTCATTTATACTGATGTTCTGCCTGTCTGCTGAATCAAGCATTTTATTTGACTTTAATATTTGTTTCCTCTGTTCAGCTGCTGTTTCCACACTTCCGGCACACTCTTCACATAAACATTAGAGGGCGCCAACATCTATTAGGACCTGATGGGGCTTTAAGTAATGTAAGGCTTTTTCAAATACATATTTGTGAATATAAATACAAATGTTATCATACCGCACCTTGCAACTTAAATTCAGTTTTTTGGATGGTTTCTAATTTGATGTCAAGAAACTTGTCTGATGGTATGTGTATTTTTGATTTGTTAGAGTTCACTTGGATTTGTTGGACTAATGGAGCTCATGAGAAGGGATCTTTCTGAAATGACCTACAGCTCTCTCTGTCTGCCGGAGAACATCGCTGCACGAGGACTGGAGTCTATCCCCAACTTTTACTACAGAGATGATGGCCTGAAGCTGTGGAACATCATCAAAAGGTTTGACCTATTCATAAATATTGTGACTGTCCACAGTGATTCATTGTACAAACACCATTAGAGACTTTCTCAGACGCTCATATTATTACAAATACAACTGTTTTGTGTTTACCAGCTTTGTGAAGGCGGTAGTGGAGCACTATTATCCCTCAGACAGTGAGGTGCATAAAGACACTGAGCTGCAGGACTGGATCAGTGAGGTCTTCACACATGGCTTCTTAGGAAACAAAGCCGCAGGTATTTGTCCCATATTCTGAAGTCATTTGTAAATATGAAACATATTAGTATATTGTAATGCACATAGTGATTGACTTATGAACATATTGTGCTGCCAACAGGGTTTCCAGCAGCCTTTCATACTGTTGAGGAAGTGGTTAAGTTCACAACCATGGTGATCTTCACAACAACGGTTCAACATGCTGCCGTAAACAGTGGGCAGGTAAATAGTTGGGGCGTTAGAATATGTATTGGTCAAGTATAAGTTTGGCAGACCAGCCAACTGCTTTCGTTTCCTTTATAATAACCATTCCGTTTGCAGGACATTAGCTTAGCATTACACTGGAGTAAAGGTTGCCTTTTTTTCTATAATGTTTTTTTTCATAATTTAGTATGACTACAACTCCTGGGCCCCCAACGGCACGCTCCTTCTGCGCAAACCTCCTCCAACCACTAAGGGGCAGTCAAGCATGAAGACGGTCCTGGAGACCCTCCCGAATGTTGGCGATACAGTCCAGTTGGCAACAATGACTTGGTTGCTTTCAGACAGATACACAGACTATGTAAGTTTGGCGTCATAAATACTTACAGAAGGATGTCCTATCCTGATTTGAATGTTTTTCTCTTTTTTACCATTAGCATTAACTTTGCTTTGTCAGTCTAATTTTGTTTCCTGATTGTGTCCTTCTGGCAGATTCCCTTGGGAACATACCCAGAGGAACGATTTGATGAGCCTGAGCCTAAGCAGATGATAAAGGAATTCCAAGCAGAATTGTCGTACCTCAGTGAAGCAATAACATCAAGAAACTCACATCTTGAACTACCCTACACATACCTGGACCCTGCAGAGATAGAGAACAGTGTTTCTATTTAAGCAGATCTGCGATTGTATTCATGTATTTCTCATCACCTATTTTGCATGCTGGGAGTTCAGTTATACTTTGAATGTAGTGTATAATTGCTGGGGCAGATAGATGAGATGTAATGGATAATTAGTAAGTTGTTGGATACTGGTAAGAGAGTACTAGAGTATATCTTGGTTGTGTGATGCTGAGCAGAAACTAAACTGACTAACACAGGAGGTAATGGCTTAAACATTGCTCTGGCCCCTATTTATCGATTACAGGCAAAACGATAAAAAAAATAGGGTGAATGTTTATTTTATTTATTTCTCTACATTAAGTGTATTTTGTTGTATCAGACTTTCTTAAGATATGAAATGCAGCTACTGTGGGTAGCTGCATTTCACCTACTGTGGGTCCACTAGTGTTTGTGGGGTGAAGATCTGGAACAATTTGAGTGAGAAGCTAAAGGGATGTCCAAACATCAAACTATTTAAAAAGAGGTATAATGACACAATTCTCACAAGGTACAGGGAGGAAACTGCTAAACCATAACTGTTATGTTCTTGTTTTGTATTCAATTTATGAATTTATGTTTATGAATTTGTGTATACATATGTGTATATATATACTTATGAATATATAGAGACAATTCTCTTAAATTGCCTGTATATATTATATGAATGATTAAATGAATTATTCAGGGTTAGGGTATTCATTTATATTGTATGTTAACGTATATTAAGATGTAAAAAAAAAAAGTAAAAACAAAAGGGAGAAGGGGTCGGATTAAATAAATGTAAACTTCTTCCGACCCCTTTTCGGACGTGTAATTAGCTAAAGTTTTTATTTATTTTTTATTGTTATCAGACAATGATACTACAGATTATTAAATTATTATTTAAATATTTCGTTTTGTTATTGCATTCATTTGTATAGTACTGTATCATGTCTGTATCATCTTTTGTTTCATTTGTATTTTCTTTGGTTTTACATGCTCGAAAAAAAATAAAAAAATAAAATAAACTAGTCAAGATGAGTTCAAACATAACATGGTTCCTCTTTCTTTTTCTCCATTAGCAATTAATAAAAAAACTATTTAACTTATGCTTGTCTTTTATGTACTTTTTTCCCTTTCATATAGCAAATGATGAGAATGAGGACAAATAATAAGTACATTAAACATCGGCGTTTTAATACATTTTTGTAATCAGAAAATATATATTTTATTAATTTTCTTCGAAATGGCATCTATCAATCTAGTCAATTGTATTCATATAATCAAATAGCAGAAATAACAGAAACATCTACCAGTGAAATGCAATGAAATTCACTCTTTCTATCCACCACATTTGTAGATCTAGAGTTCTATTTTGTCGAGTTCATTTTTATTTGACTGATGTATGGTGCGCAGTTATTCTGACAGAGTGGGACTTCATTTTTTCTAACTCATCTTTGATGCAAACCAAACCACCCTTTTCAAAACACAGTCCGGGTATTTTTAGACTACACCATACAATAAATGTGTCCGCGCGGACTTAATACAAGAGCCTTAATAACCCACTCGACACATTTTACGGTTTTGCGGACGTGTCACTGAATTAAAGCTGCCACAATGTTGTTTAGGTTCGCAGTCATTCTCACTCCGGAGTCTTTGGATGTAAAGGTCTTTGTTTTGGGTTCGCGTGAGGAAATGGGCCAATGGGACTTGAGCGCAGCGGTTCCGATGACAGCCTCTCAGAAGCTCCTGTCCACCCTTGAACCGTGTCTGTGGACCGGCGACATGCAGCTGGCAGAGCCGTACGGAGACACTTTGTGGTTCAAGTTCGTCAAAAGAGTGAGAGGCACTTATATATGGGAAGGTATACATCAACATTCGGATAGTGCATCCAATTCAGTAGCATGCCAAATTAGATTGTTGACAAGTAATACACTTTAATGTCAGTCCCATCGAAGGTAAACATCTCCGCCATGTTTTGTTTATAGTGTGTAATGTATTCTTGCTCCCACATGATGGCGGTATAGCGAAGCCTTTTTATTTAATAAACGCTCAGTGGCTCGTGGATTTTAGAGCAGTTGTATACAATTGTTACGTTACAATTCGTGCTTTCCAATTTATATCTCATATAGGCCTACCTATACTTTATTTATAACATTACATAGGGCACACTCAAAAGTAAAAAGACTGGATTGTTATTTTCAAAGCATTAACATGTAAGCAATATGTTTAATGTTGTAACAGAGATCATTTAAGTTGTACACTGTTAAGAAAGTTGTTTGTAAAAATGCTTTACATTTGATTAAAGGTCCCATGTCATGGCCATTTCTACTGATCATAATTCCATTGTTGAGGTCTATAGATTTACATTGTTCAATGTTCCAAAATGACATTGGTTTCTCATACAGCATCTCTGTATAGTTCACTCTCTGGGTGTTTCTCAATGTCGAGGAAGGCTGCTCCAGAGCCACTATTTCAAGCATACTACGTCATCGAGTGCCACCGAAGGATTGTTCCAATGTCCAGCATACTTGGAATTCTACCGAGGCCGGCGTACTTCGTAGCGAGAAATTTCGAGGCTGCACATGTGTAGACTCCGCGGTTTTAAAATCCCCACAATGCTTTGCGCAAGGACCAATTTCCAAATCTTTGGCGGAAATAGCGCTCCATTTAAGGCGGGGCCTCGCATATGACGCACACCTGCACACCTGTTCCACAATTCTTTGTTTTCCGAGCCTAGGAAGGATTATTGCCTCGCTTCTGAAGCAAGTGACTCGGAAGACATGTGCTACCAAGCAAGCGTCCTCGACATTGAGAAACACCCACGGTCCTAAACGGCTTGTTGGAGCTCCTCTCCCTATGAGCCCACTGTGCTCTGATTGGTCAGCTCGCCCACTCTGTTCTGATGAGTCCACCACCGTTACAGCGGAACATCAGTGATTATGTGGTACAATGGCATTAGCAACCAGAAAATGACACCAGTAATGACAAACAGATGAGAATGCTGCGTGGGGTCTGGGTGCCGTGTTGGCGGGACGTTGCGCGACTCGCTGCTGTGAGGAACGGTTTATTACTGGTGTTGTTTCCTGGTTGCTGCGTGGAGTCTGTGAGACAGCGAAACACCTCGAAACTCAGCCTGAGCGCCATGGATGTGGGAAGGGGAGGTGCTGAGGAGACTGCAGCAGCACCCCCATGTGCGAGGCTCCAATAGCACCCGCACCCCCCAGCGCGGCACAGTTTCGCCACTGAGAGAGAGAGTGTGTGTGTGTGTGTGTGTGTGTGTGTGTGTGTGTGTGTGTGTGTGTGTGTGTGTGTGTGTGTGTGTGTGTGTGTGTGTGTGTGTGTGTGCGTGTGCGTGTGCGTGTGCGTGTGTGTGTGTGTGTGTGTGTGAAGAGCTCCACGGATTGGTCCATTTGGTTCCCGGAAGAAATAAATTGAAAACGAAAAATGTCCAATGAGGCGTTCTGGGGCAACATAGACAGGTATTTTCTGTGTTAGAGTTTTACTCGTTACAGGGTGTACTTTGAGGGTTTGTGACTCTGCAGACCGTTTACATGCAGAAAAAGCTACATAACACACAAGGGGAGGGGTAATAACCGGAAAAGCATGACATGGGACCTTTAACCTTTAAGTTATCGCATTAATTCTATATAATTAAAATCTACAAATGTAGTAGTTGCCTGTCAGAAGAATATAGTGTTACTATACTACTGTAAAAATCCAACACCAACCTGCAGAAAATGTGTCTTGCTTGTCACCAGGTAGCAATCCGAGCCATGACAGGTGTTGTCGATTTGATGAGAAGAACATAGTGGATGGAGTTTACTGCCATCCGATTGGTCACTGGATAGAGGAAACAGGACACACAGATGAGATGAAACACACCACCAACTTTTACTTCAGTGTGGCTGGTCAGAATGCCATTCATTTCTCCAGGTAAAACAGTACAGTAGAAACAAAGCCAAAGCAAATACTGGGAATGTCTATGAGTAAAACATGTCACAGTTGCAGCGGAAATGTTGTTTCATTAAATTATTTTATATTTTGTATTACAATTGTTCATAGTGGATACCAAAAGTATTAACTAAATGAATAGTAGTTACAACAAACTAACACATAAAAGAAAAAAAACATTGTGGGATTGAGTTGAAATGTTATAGAATTTAGGTTCAGTAGTGAGACAGCATGACGTTAGACTGTTGGGGGTTAGCAGCATGGGTTACACACTGAAGTCAGTCCTGCAACCAGCTAGGTGTACTTTCACAAGATGGTTGCTGTTGTTCTAAATTGACTGCTTTTTTATAGTGCTATTCCTATTTACAACCCCACATGGCACTTTACATATACTGTACAAGTCAGCAAGGATCTTGCCCATGGATACATCAATATGTTGACTGGGATTGAACCCCCAACCTTCTGATTGTTAGACAACCACACTCGCTCACAGCCACAGACAGTTGCCCCATAAGTGCTTTACCTCTGACCTCCCAGTGAAAGAGAAGATTTGGTCATACACTAAGTATTGAAACCGTTTGACACTATTACTTTGAAACAGGTCTATGTTGTAATTTTCTGTAATTTCCAAGGATTTCTTACCAAATGTAATAATAATGAAAATGAATGAGGTCTAATGGGACCAATGAATTCCCCTGCTGAAGTGTGATTGTTTCTTAAATAACACAGAGGGTCACATCAGCTCTTCTTTTCTTATTGTGATAACACTTTCCAAACAAAACCAATCTTATTAAGTTAGTAAGGCTCATGTATTGCTTTGTATTGTCAGTGCAGCTCGTAATTCTGCTTTGTCATGGTAGAATATCTGTGAGAGAAAATGAATCTTTAGCAGTGTCCTGCGAAAAGGCCAGAGCAGTGTCATATCACTCTGCCCTTATTAATTAAAGTATATGCTCTTTCGTGACTTCAAAATATCGTCGACGACATATTTCCGCGTCGACGCGTCGCTACACACACGTGGGTCACCCAAAGCAACAAGCAGTTCGCAATCGCACTTCAAACACAATGGAGACTGAAACGGCTACCACCTCCTCCTCACAGGATTGCGCACGAAGCCCCCAAACGAAAACATCTCGCCCTAGGTCTTCAAAAGCATGGGAATATTTTAAAGTTAGTCCAAAACGCAAAGATATTTATATATTTATATCTCACTGAGACTGCTGCATAGCCTAGCAGAAGCAGCAGCTAGCTGTGGTGGCTACCATTAGCAGCTAGCATTTGCTCTCCGATTTTTTACATAAAATGGAATTATGGATTATAAATTCAATCATTTTTTTATACATAGACGTTAAAAACCTATGGATTAACCGATTCAGCCGCGTTTTTTCTGGTTTTAATGCCATTGAACACGTCTTTTGATCAGATTGACAGCTACGGTGGTAAGACGTTCTCCCTAGAAGCTCTGTGAAGGTGCGTGTTGTGATGACTGTATTTGCTTCCCCTGTCGCGAGTCCGGATCACTCAGTGATGATACTATATACCTACATAATCTGTGGAGTCTCAGCTTTAATCGGATATATTGTATGTGCAGCTACGATAAGTAATAAGGGTACTTTTATCTTGAGTTCTGTGCCAATGTCCGTTAGCATTTTTCGCTCAGGGGTCATTTAGATGCTTCTTATGAGACTTGTGTTTTGGTAAACATGGTTTGTATCGTCAATTAACTGAGATTATTTCCGTTAATCTGGTATAACACATTAATAGGTTCTTAAATATTAAGATCCCCTGAGACACAGTATCGTGAACAATTTTTTTTTTACATTACGTTTTTTATGAATTGAACAACAGAAAAATAATCGTTAGATTAGTCGACTAATCGATCAAATAATCGCCCGATTAATCGTTTTCAAAATAATCGTTTCCCCCCAGCACTAATGCTCTTATAGACAAAGAAGCAACCATGCTCTCAGGGCTGCTCACTCCTTAGCTTTGTAATCTTGCTCTCTTTCTTTTAGTTTAAATGCTGTCTACCCTTAGAAATGTTGAACAAGTCGACCCCCAGCAGCTGCATTATCAGCTCATACAGTAGGTATTATATATTCAATGTATTTCAATTGGCTTCCTATTCAAAAGACTATGAAGAAGATACCATTAGCTATTATCTAGCTAACTCAATTATTTAGCAGCTTCCAGGCTCAATAGTTGCATTAAAATTAGCAACTCTTAACCCCAGTCAAAATATACTAAAATTAATACTTTTCTCAAATAATTTACAGAGGCAACCTCTAAAGATCACATGATCATTTTAATATAGTTGACCATAATAATATAAACATAGTTAGTGCCATGATGTATCAGGAGCCCAGGAACCCTGTGGCAGTGAGCACATCACTTGCATAACAAGGAGCAGGCTTGGCCGGTGCCATCAGGTATTCATTTGTGTCCGAAGACCTTACAAGGCTTATGTCAAGGACCCGTGTTATAGGAAGCACTCTGCCCTTGTATCTTGGCTATTAATAGCTTTTTCAAATTAGTCTCTCAGACCTTGCATCCGTTTGCTCCCCAGTACCATTTACACACTCACCTCTGCAATAACTCATTATATGATTCAAAGAGACTTTAACTTTCTGTCTAACAGGTGCCTCGTCTCCAATGCTTTGATTCAGAGGAGAGGAGGCCTGAAGGTTATAAAGCCAGATCGTAATGAGTTTGTAATAATGTTGTATGAACAACTGAGCAATAAAACAGACATATTTTCCAAGAAATGTAATCCTACATCGTTCGGCTAAATTATGTAAAGCAATAAAGCATCAGCTAGAATCTACCAATAATTGTATTTACTCATTTTACGTAATAGATACACTGCTAGTCACCCAGAATACACAACAGAAACATCAGTTTTACACAACTTCAGTTTAGCTTTTCAGTTTTGATATGGTCCAATTGGTATTGATACTTTCTGTAAGAGTAAGAACAGGTGTATAATGATTTAATAAAAAAACAAGACAATTGTTTGATTTGCAACAAAGCCATTTAGCAGAAGCATTTTATGTAAAGAAAAGAGGATATCTGATTACACAGCAAGTCGAAACCAGAGACTTTGCAGGGCCACTTTGGGACATTACAGATTAACGTACGCATTTATGAGTCACCTGACCTGGTTGACTTCATGCACATTAATGAGCCCTAAATGAGTGTGCCTTAGACCGAAGTGTTATCGAGGAGAATTATAAGTACAAGATGTAAACAAAACATCAGTGCCATGAAGGAGAAAGGGAGGACAACTACAGAATCAGAATGAAACCATGTGCTTGTTAGTGACTTGTAAGGGTCAGCTTTCCTTGATCTGCCTGTAGGACAGTTAGAAAACAATTACTTTAATTGGCTCAGGAGTACCTTAAAATTCTCTGCTCATACCCCACACAATGGCCAACAGGGATGGAGCGTAACCTCTTTGTCACCCTCTTCGCCATATATAAGTATAAAGCTTTATTCAAACTCTTTAAACCATTTTATCCAATTATTACATCTACAGTGTCATTTAAAGTCATAATTCCCTTTTTCTTCATCTGTGACTTCATTCAAACACTTCTCTTCAGGTATTACGTTAACCTCACAGGTTCAGCATATATATATATAATGTAATAATGACTGCTTGCATTCATAAAATGGATTATGCATATTCGTTATCCCCAGGGTATTGCCACGTATTTGGCTGGGAAGCTGCCCTCGACAGGTGGAACATGTGACCATAAAGATGAAGCAGGAATTGGGGATTACTGCAGTGATGAACTTCCAGACAGAGTTGGACGTGGTAAACAACTCTAATGGCTGCAGGCACGACCCAGGGGAAGCCATGACTCCGGAGACGATGATGCGTCTGTACAAAGACTGTGGACTGCTGTACGTGTGGATGCCCACTCCTGACATGAGCACTGAGGGTAAGGACACATCTGTGCACATACAAGAATAAATACAGGTGTAGTAATAGTATTTAGTTAGGTCTGAGTGAGGACTCCTTGTCTTTCTGAAAGACTCTTTGGCTGTCTTCTGACTGAAAAGCTCTAAACGTACTCAATATGCATACTTTGTTTTAGTGATGGGTCCATTCATATATTTTGAAGTGGAAAATCCACCAATTATTTTAGTAACACTTTTCTAGAATGAGATGAATGCAATAAATACATCAATCTGTGAATGGTGGAATTATATCCAACCATCCTCATTACCTTCTAAATGTAAGGTGTCCTTTAACCTGAAAGGTTGGGCAGTATCTCATGTGTTGTGTGAGTTGCAAAATAATGCTACTTGTGCTTTCACAGTAAATGCAAGCAGCGAAATATTTACATATATTCATACTTCACATGTACAAGTCCTCTGCTTTAGATCTATTGTGTCTCCTTTTGCAGGTCGCATTAGGATGCTTCCCCAGGCAGTGTATCTGCTCCATGGGCTCTTGGAAAATGGTCACACTGTCTATGTTCACTGTAATGCTGGAGTGGGCAGGTCGACTGCAGCTGTGTGCGGCTTGCTCCTGTACGTCCTTGGCTGGAGTCTGAGGAAGGTGCAGTACTTCGTTGCAGCCAGAAGGCCGGCAGTGTACATAGACGAGGAGGCTTTAGTCCAGGCTCAAACCGACTTCATCCAGAAGTTTGGACAACTACGATCATCCATCTCTTACCAAGAGACATGAGAATTGAATTCGGTTGTACCAAAGTCTTGACATTGCAGCCAAATCTACAGGTATCGAAAGCTCCACTGGACTAGACTCTTGGAAACGATTCCTTACAATGTGAAAGAAACACTGTATAGTCAGCAAGAACATTTACTTACTTTCACTTTGATGTCATTCAAGTAAATGACCCACTTTAGATATTGAAATCAAGTTGATCCCTAAGTATCTGGAGAGAGTTCTGCTGGCTGTCGGCATGGAAGCAATAATCCTACTGTAAAATATCGTTAGTTTCAGGACACTATTAGTATTTAAATGTCTGCATGGTGTTGGAAAGACCTTTTCTTTTTGTAGTGAAAAATACATAGAGTTGGCATTTTGAGAAGGCCCTTTTTAGCTGATGGGTTGGACAGCAATGTATGAGAATAAATACAATCAAAACAATATATCAATCAATATATAACAGTAGCACTGTTTGCTCTCATCCAATGAGCTGTGATTCTCAGTAAAGGATTAGTCCACATTGTTATTGTGTATCAAATGAGAAAATACCCTCTTTAATTCGGAGGGGGAAATGATCAATAATATCTTACTTTGAAAAGAGGTCTTAATGTTTGGCACTTCATGCCAAAGCAACAAATCCATTCCAAAACTCAAATAAACGACAATGCCTCTCCCGCTCCCACGCACACATTGAAGCATTCAGCTCCGCCCATCTCTCTCAGAGAGCTTGATGGCATTTCATCTTTATTTATTAATCCGACAGATGCTATTCCGACCCATCTCCATCAATAACAAAAACAACATCTAGGCCAGACCATTTGAATGCATACATAATAAGACATTATTGGAATACTGTTTGTTGTCAATTCTGAATGTCTGCCTAGACTCCTATTGAGGATATATTGCTTTTTTGAATACAGTGTTTTTGTTACCTGATTTAAGACATTTGGTGGATTGGAAAGGAGAAAGGAGCTTTCTCATCGAGCACAATTCATATTCTCCTTTTTTCCAGTGAGTCCCTTCAGCAGACAGCACTTTTTGAGGCTTTCAGTGGTAAAACTAATTATCCATGCATGAGTGCCAGCTGAAGCAAATCATTTTCGAAATGTTCTAAAAATAGGAACAAAAACTGAATATGGAATGAGTGACATGAGACATGTGAACTATGAATTACGCAAAACACCTTAACATTATTGACTCCTGAATTGAACTCTACTATGAATTTGAGATGAGTACGTAAGGGATGTATCATGGCACAGTGTTGCTGATCAGATTGTGCTCCACATCATCAAATCCCTTACTGCTGCATGCAAGCCTTCCTTCCCCACTGTCATATCTAATAAAGGCAGAAAAGGCTAAAAGAACATATCATTGTGTGTTTAGCAGAACCCCTTGTCCGATGGTGGACAATGATGACATGGTTACTTGTTGCAGGATGCAGACAATAGGAAGAGAAAGAACAGGGTGCACAAAGTATTTACATTACAACAAATAAAATATATATTCTTTGCCTATATATATCTAACCGTTCCCTAATTTCATCAAACAGTTTCAAAGGTTTTTCCAATAAGAAGTCAGACACTGCGTCCATGTCTTGCACAGGCTTATTAAACGTCACTCTGCTTTATTTAGATGATCTGTAAAAAAGGATTAGCTGAGCATTTTTTCAGCAAGGCACACTCACAGACAGACATCTTTTCTTTACTTTCTGTATTAGATAATCTCATCTAATCATAGTCAGCCAGTCGATTTCATCTTTCGAACGTGAATTGTGTTTTGTCCAATATGCTTTTGGTCCTCTGAGACCCATGATGGTGATTTTAATCATGAAGTCTGCACTTTAAATCTTAAACCATTTGCCTTTGATACAGTTCTGCTAGCTAGACCAGCCTGCATTCATTCATCATTGAGAGGAAAAGCTTTTTCACATTCACAGACAGTCATGAAGGCTCCATATTCATCACGCCAGTCCAGGCACCCATGGTTAATTTACCTAATAGATTCCAAGTCCAGCTATACCATTTGCATTGTGTCCATCCATCCATCCATCTTCTCCCGCTTATCCGTGTTCGGGTCGCGGGGGTAGCAGTTCCAGCAGAGAGCCCCAAACTTTCTTTTCTTTTCTTATATCTCTTCGCTGGCCTGGGAGCGCGATCCCAAGGCGCTCCCAGGCCAGCGAAGAGATATAATCCCTCCACCTGGTCCTAGGTCTACCCCTTGGTCTCTTCCCAGCTGGACGTGCCTGGAACACCTCCCTAGGGAGGCGCCCAGGTGGCATCCTAACTAGGTGCCCGAACCACCTCAACTGGCTCCTTTCGACGCGAAGGAGGAGCGGCTCAACTCCGAGTCCCTCCCTGATGACCGAACTTCTCACCTTATCCCTAAGGGAGACACCAGCCACCCTGCGGAGAAAACCCATCTCGGCCGCTTGTATCATTTGCATTGTGTGGTTAAGAATAATCCCATAATGAAGACATTGCTCTCTCTTTGCTCCAGGGCAGAACTCCAGCTCACCCTGGCAAGTACTCAAAGTAAAAGCCAAAGTGAAGAGATGCGGTTTGACCGAATAACTCTAAATCTACAGGCTCATTCTACCATGTATGTTTCAGGAGCTTGAACCAGCAGCCCCTGGAGGAAGGTTTATTCATGTAGTCCAAGAATATCTGACTATGAGACACTCTGTGGAATATGAATAGGTATGAGTAATGCCAGACAGTTGATCTACAATCAAATATAAATACATCTGAGAGGCTGAGTGTACCATTGTTTAATAATCGATACATCTGAGATTGACTGACTGACTGGAGGCTGAGCAGCAGTCTGTTTTATGCGTGTGCCATGGCAACATATGGCATGTGTTTTTCCAGACACAGCACCTACAAGACTGGGTAAACATTTCTTCTGTGAATGCATTACTTGCAGTCTGAGTCATTCCTCAAGCAGCCAGTGGCAGTGCCCCACTGATATTCAATAATACCAAGCCTTTGTCCTTCGGGGGACCATAACAATGAATGGGCAGATTTATGCAGGCTTGGTATTTCTCTTGCAAAGAAAGTGTTTATTCCTGTAACACCTGAACTATGCTCCCTGTTAGCATCCAAATACATTAGTTAGTGAAACTTTTCTCATGCTTTTCTTTATTAAAGATACAATATTTTACAACTCTTTCTTACTACATCCTTACTTTTACTTCGTTTGGGACATGTTACAACCGTGATCTACTTAGAATAGGCATATAATAGGTGTTTCAGTCTCATTAACATCCACATTATTTTAGTTTTTGTCATTAAGAGTTATTGATTCCATGGTTTGTCAGATTGTAATTATTGGTATTGCCCAAATATCAATCAGAATCAGAATACCTCTACTCATCCCACAGAGGGGACATTTACATTGTTACAGCAGAAAAGAGCCACAGACAGCTTAATGTTTAACAAAGAAGTATGCATAAAAAACAAAACAAATATTAAAGATAAAAACAATTTGTTTTTAAAGAATGACACAATTACAACAGTTCTGAAGATGTAGCAGCCATATTGCACAGTTATTCACGGCATATATATATATATATATATATATATATATATATATATATATATGTATATATATATAACAACAAGGGGTGTTATAGTTACTCTTTAAATGATCAACTTTAAAATCATGTTTCAATGATAAGATGCTTTGCTGAGCTAGATTTATAAACTGTTAATGTAGCCAGGAAACAAAATCTGAGAACCTTGTTTGAGTATGTTGGACCAATCTTTTCTAAGTCAAGATTGCCTTTGCTCTCATTACATGCATGTCTTAGGTTACACGTGTTTAATGTGGCTGGACAGCAAAGACATTTTTAATTTCAAAACACAACAGCATGCAATATAGATGATGGATGTTGGTGGTTGTAATGACTGCCTCCATTTATGATAGAGAAGCACTCCAATGTAGGCACATTACTGTTAATCACACAGAAAGGAAGAGTGGTGGGTAAGGGAAAATGAGAAATGGATGAAGTAAGTCAAGTTTTGACAGGCCAACAGCACAGCGGTTCAAAGTGTGACTGTACTGAAAGGCTTCCTGTGAAATACATTTGTGCTGTCAATACCTCTGTTGTTCTCTCCATTTCCCACGTTGGCACTGCCATTGATCAGTGTCAGCGGGACAGATTCTGACATGAACAAGGGAGGGGGATACACAGCTGTTAAACATAGTAAATGACGAGAGAGTTGGTTTGCCACAGGAAGAACCTATCTTATCTTATATCTCAACCTTCACATCGAAAATTAAGCAAAGATCTTAAGGTAGACATTTTGAAGGAAACATTTGAGGAAGGGCTGGATTACTTTTCTTTGGTTAGTGAATATCTGTCACTGAGTGTTACCTAGAACCTATAGTCACTAATTAACCAAGTATACTCTCAATAAATACAAACTTATATTTGCCGCCCACCACGACAGTTTTATTTTGACGGCTTTATAATCTAATGTAAAGTTAAGTTATTGTTGTGGTGGGTAAGCATTATGTTAGTGTTGCACAAACTTATTGAGTCGTTTATAGTTTTATGTTTATTTTTTATCAATATCATACCTACTTTGCTTTTTTGTTTTCTAATCATACTGAAAGGCTTTTGATTAGTATATTAATTATAATTAGGACCCATGAAAAAGTTTTGGAATAAATGATTTACTATGCAAGTTCTTTGTGCGTGACAAAAAAAGGATGCAGAATTTGCTGGAGATTTACAACATGATAAATGTGAGCTTTGGATTGCCTGAAATAGTCTCATAATCATGAAACCATTGTTGGTGTTCACGTGCAGAATGAGAACAGTTTCCTACTTCGTCTGGATCTGGGGGATGATATCATACTTTGACAATTTGACAAAAAAATCACTCTGTTGTGGATGTTCTTCAAATCATGTCCAATGTTCTCTCAGGTTATCTTTTTAGCCCTGACCCACTAACCCATCATGTCATTTTACCACAAATAACAGCGGTGATATGTGGGGAAAGAGTCAGATCTTTCTATCTGAAAGATATGTGTGTGTCTATACAAAATGTAATCTGCCTGAACTTAATACGACCGGACAGGTATGCATTACTTTGGGAAAGGAGTTTGTTTGAAGACATGTTTAGCACGTAATTAAGCCGGCTAGCCGACAGAGAAAGACAATAGAGATTGTGCTGCCATGCATGATAAGTGGACCTGCCAGCCTAGTTTCTTCCCCCCCGCCTGAATCAGTGATGCCAGATGCCAAAGCTGACAGCCCAGTTAACATGGTAATCATGAGATCAATGAGCGCTAAATGATCCAATGAAAGACATGTCGTCTTTTAGTGTGACTGTAGGAAAGAGGCTATAATATGTAACATTGTTGTTAGAATTTAACATGAACTTTTATTTATGTATAAACTATTTCTTTAAATTACTCCTGCTTAAAGATTAACTATGCATTGACAATAATAATCAAATCCACACTAATAAAAGCTGCTTCTTCTTATACTAATTATACTTTCCTCACATGGCACCTAACTTTTTTTGTTTGATCAACAACTCAGTCACTCCAGCAGAATACATTATATTATAGTACAGACCTTTGAGTTCAGGCACAACTCTATTTTGTTCTGTTACAAATCAACCTATTGAGGACCATCCTTTGAAGAAACAGTGGCCTTACAAATGAAGAGCTCACAAAAAACCATGTCCCTGAACGTCCCCGTTTCATTACTAATCCTACAAGGGGTTGCTATTACATGTAAGGAAAAAGATCCACCATGGCTGCCCTGATCTCATGTTATGTACCAGTATGCCTGAGCTGTCCATAATCACAGAGACCCAGCTGGCTACTGGGGAGAGGAAGGGGACCTAGAGCGGGATGACAAGGGACAGAGCGTAACCTCTTCGTCACCCTCTTCACCCTCACACCACTTGACATGGACTCCCTGCCAGAACAGATAACAGACATTTACAACAGAGCAGGGAACCACCCAGCACAGATGGACCAACACACACAAACACACACACAATGCCTCTGACATCTTTTCACCACTGTAAATATGTATTCACGAGGCGGAGTTGTTAAAGTGTCTACCTAATTAATCCTCTAATTATTTAAGGAGGCTGTCAACTGACCAGAACATCAAGATAAGCATTAACAAGGTGCCGTTGGATTGTGTTATGCAAATGTATTACATATAGCAGGGGTATTTAATGTGCTGAAAGCTGATGATGTGCATCTTATCGTGCACATGGTATGAGGACGCTAACCAGATAATGAGTCATTCAACACAATGAAATGCAAATGTGGATTAGCGACCAGCTAATGGACAGCATTACACCTAAAGTGGTTTTCTCTCGTTCATCCTAATACCACCCTGACTGATGGACAGATGGAATCTCTTTGGGTTCTGGCAACAACGCCCACCAGTGGCATCCCAAAATGCTTTTAAGAGGTTTTTATTTCCTGAAACAAAGTATTTTTGTTATGTTTGTTGAGCGGAGCTGCGAGTTCAAAAGAGGAAAAGCTCTCTTGCTGTTGATACCACTAAAGGCGCACTATTATGCTTTTTGGGGTTTTTCCTTTCCTGTAGTTTAAAAGTGAAAGCATGTAAACATGTCGAGTAGCACAACATATAAATATATAATCTTTTATAGTTCATTTGTTGTGTTTATTGGTTCTTTGGATGATGAATCCGAACATCATTATTAGACAGGTCCTGTGTGTGCAGGGAGGGGCAGACATATGGTTGCCAGTACCCCCGACCGCTAGACTAATAAATCACCAGTGACAACAGATAATGAATGCTGGCCTATCAGAGAACATTGGTTTGCTCATCTCTATATCAACTAATGGCAGAACTTAGATTTAAAAAGAAAAATAGTTTTGACACAAACAATATGGGCCAGTTTCCAAGTATGTATAACTAAAACTAAATATGTTGTAACAGCATATGACATTTGGCCCGAAACACATGTTTGATATGTTCTCAAAAATATATTTATTTTGGATAGCTTGTATACCACCCTGCATTAGTCCTCGTTTTCTGCTCTCTCTACCTTGCCTTCATTACTGTTCCTGGTCAGCACATCTGG